AAGATAAATTATCAGAAATTAAAGAAGGGAATAAAATACAAAAAGTACATCATCAAATCTTCTTTTATTATAATAGTTTGAATATAGTATTAGGGAAACAAGGAACAGGAAAAACAACATTTATAATGAAAGAATTAATAAAAATGAATCATATAGAACATTTATATGGGGCTATTATTTATGTAGCACAAAATGCAGGAGAAGATGAAACATTTAAACAATTAAAAGATTTAATTAAAACACCAATATATGGAATGAATTATGAGAAATTTATGCCAGCATTAGTGCAATATTATAAACAAGCACGAGAGAAACATTTATTAATTATATTAGAAGATGCAACATTTGAAATGATGAAAGCGGATAAAACATGGGGAGAAATTATTACAAGATTAAGACATTTGAAAACAACAATTATTGTGAATATGCATATATGGAAAAGTTTAAATGCATCATTTAAAACACAAGTAGCAACAATTATTATTTTTAAAGGATATTCTAAAGAGAATTTTAGTTATATTTTTCGACAAACAGCAGCAAATTCAAGTGGAACAGTAGCATATTATCTTTATTTAGGAATGGATAAGAAACAAGTATTAAAAATAGATAATTTAACAGGAGATGTTAATGTTATTAAAAAATAATTGAATTAAAAATTAAAGTGTGATTTTTAAATATTTTGAAGTATCATCATGAAGAGGATCTGGATGATATTTTCCACCACACCATGTAACATTTTGTTTTCCAACATTAAATTTCCCACATCTTCCATCTTCTTCTGACCAATCTCTAACACATACCCATATATTTCCTAAACAATTAGGAATAACTTTTCCATTAATTAAATGAACAATTGCTATAGCATTGATTTTTCCACCAAAGAAAGAATAATCATTTAATGAAGATAATGAAGTATAAACTAAAATAAAAGAATGAAGATTGAAAGCATTTGGTTCATTATGAGATGATTGTTTTGTTGTCTTCCCTCTTTTTGTTCTTCCAAGTGCATTAAGATCATTAATTGAATCTTTTAATCCAACAGTATATTCTTTTTTAACTGTTTTTCCAACTGACCCATAAAAATCAGCAACATTAAATTGATTTTTCTCTGATGATGATTTTCCTGTCTGAATAATAATTCTTCTTTGAAGTGTAATAATAATATTTGATACTAAAAGATCAATAGTATTTAATGATGAATCATTATCAATTAAATAAAATAATCCATTTCCATTGAATAATTGAGAAGAATTAAATTGAGTTAATTTTGATATGATTGCGTTATTTATATTATTAATTGATGGTTCAATTGAAGCCTTAATAACTTTAAAATTTGTAAGTGCGGTTAATAAAGCATTTATTCTTGTTTCATTATCATCAATATATTTCTTTACTTCTTGTTTAATTGCTTCATACATATTACCATGTTTATAATCAGTTACTGAATTTGGAATAGTTACATAAACTAAATTTAAAAATCTAGGAGCACTAGATAAATTTGATGAAGATTTCATAAATAGTTTAATATAATTTCTTATTTTTGAATGTGAAGAAAGATTTATATTTGTATTGTCTGAATGAAAAGATAATTGTTGTGAATGAGGATAATCATATGAATCGTATGAATCATCCATTACTATAGATTCACTAGAATCAGTATCACTTACCATTGATTGACTTGGACGTATTGGTCGTGCTGGTTTTCGACGGATTGTGTTTGATTCACTAGTAGACATCCTAATTGGTTTGGTATTCATCTATAAATAATTAGATCAATATGACACATTTATATTGTCAACGATATTTCACTATAACAAGAGAAAATGCAATCGCAGATTTTAAAACATATAAATGGATAATAAATTTACCATGGGAATTTATTACATCAGAAAATTATCCTAAAACAATAGAAGTAATGAATTTTGTATATTTTAATTTGAATGGACAATTAGATATTGGAGTTAGTTGTCATGCGTCATTTAATTATGATTCACCAGAAAATGATCAAATGATATGTTTTTCAACATATGGAAATATGACACCAAAACATTTCAATATTAATAAAAATATAACAAGAATAGAAATATGGTTTAAAGATTATAAAGGAAAGAGTATTTTCCCAGTTGGACTTTGGGATGAATATTTTATCTTAGAACTTAATTTACATTATTAAATGGAAGCAATTGGTTCAAAATATTTAAATAAAAATAATATTTTAACAACACGTTATTTCAACAACAACAACACATTTTATCTTGATACAATTAAAACAACAGATGGAATAACAACAATTAATGTTAAGAATATAACAACAAATGAAGAAATAGATGAAATGAAAGAGAAAATGAAAGAAACAAATACATATATTAATGATATTCGAGATGATGTATCGCAATTATCAACATTAAATACAACAAATATGAATGAAATTAATAATTTAACAAATCAATTAATATCTTTATCATCTCTTGTTAATACTTCATTATATTCACCATTTTATTCTAATGAAGAAGCATTATTACAAATGACATCATTAACATCTTATATTAACACAGAAATATCAAGAAATACAACAATTAAACAAGCAGATATAATTAACACAATTGGAATTAAAGATGCCAACAATCATACATATACATTTCCTTTATCAACATTAATGTCATGGGGAACTGATTCATCAAAAACTTTTAAAAATACAAGTACTGATCATAAAATGTATATCTTTCAATTTATGTTTATGATAAATACTGATACGGATTCAACAAAGAAAACAAAAATTCACTTTAGAACTAACAGAATTGATTCAGGAAATTCATCTACTATTGATAAATTATCTGATCGTGATAAATATTATAGTAATGGATATATGATATTCACTACTAGAGAGTATGTTAGTACTGTTGGAGTGTATATATTAAATTATACTGATGGAACACTTACATATAAAAATGCAGTAGATATAGTTCAATCATCACCAAATCAAAGTTTTATTTATTATATTGATTCAAAAACACCATTTGATGTTTGGAATGATGAAGAAATAAAGAAAGAAATGAATTAATTTAATTTAATTTTAACTGAGTTATTCTTCATTTTATGAATCTTTTATGAATTTATTATAAATTTTGACAATATATATAGAATAAATCCTCAATTTATATACTATTTAAACTCATTACATCTGATTACTTTCATTCATATTTGATGAACAAGAATAACAGAGCAATTATTATAAGTGGAAGTATAGGAGTTGGAAAAACAACAACAATACAAGCATTAATTGAATATTTTAATAAAGAGAATGTAGGAATAATAGAAGAATATATTGATTATTCACCTAGAATTGGAAAAATGTTAATATCAGATGTAGGGAATGGAATAGAAAGAAATTACACATTACAAAAATTTATTCTTCAATGTTATGAAGAACAATTAAAAAATAATAAAAATAAAAAAGTAATAATTATTGAACGACATCCTCGTGAAGCAATTGAAGTATTTTGTGAAATAGATAAAATAATGACAGAAAAAGAAAGAGAAGAAATTACGAATAAAATATATTTAATAGAAAAAGAATATCAATTAGAATATAACAAATTTAATACATATTGTATTTCAACTGATTATGCAACTCCAAATGTTATAGCAAGAAATATCTTTACAGAATGGGTAAAAAGAGAAAATATAGAAAATGAAACATTTCATGTATTTTTATATGCTAATGAAGAAAATCAAAAGAAAAGAATTATAAAAAGAAATAGAGGAGTTATTTCAGAAATGAATTTTTATTATGTTAATCAAATTAATACTCTTTATAAACATTATTTAAATGAACATTTTACTTCTAAAGAAAATAATGAAGAAACATTATTTATTAAAAAATTACATAAAGATGCAATTATTCCTACAAGAGGAACAGAACAATCAGTAGGTTTTGATTTATATAGCATTGATGATAATATTATTTATCCACATGATAGATGTTTAATTTCTACAGGAATTGCTGTACAAATTCCACATTTCTGTTATGGTAGAGTTGCACCACGTTCATCATTAGCAATTAAATATGGAATTGATATTGGAGGAGGAGTTATTGATGAAGATTATAGAGGAGAAATAAAAGTAATAGTATTTAATCATTCAAATACTATATATAGATGCAAGAAAGGAGATAGAGTTGCACAACTTATTATTGAAAAAATAAAACAATGTAAAATTGAAGAAGTGAAAGAAATAAGTGAAACAATAAGAGGAGAGAAAGGATTTGGATCAACAGGTAAATGAATAATTTTTGATCTTTTTAATTTCATTTAAAAATACAGTATGGAAAATAAAATAATCATTAGTGGAGGAATTGGGACAGGTAAAACAACAATAATAAAAGCATTAGCAAAATACTTTAATCCAGATGAAGTAGGAATAATAGAAGAACATGTCCGATGGGATGAAATAAATAAAGTACTACAAACAACAAGTAAAGAAAATTCAAATAAAAAGAAACATCTCATTGAAATACTTAAAGAATATTTAAATGATTATGAAGAACAAATAGAAAAGAAACAAAATAAAAGAATACTCCTTATTGAAAGACAACCAATTGAATTAATTGATACATTCTGGGATCCAGAAGAAACAGATGATTTATTAAATACTCAAGAAATCAAAATATTAAAAGAACAAGCAAATAAAATAATTACTAAATATATAATAAAATATGAAGAAGAAGAAGAAAAAATAGAAGGAATAATGAGAACAAATGAATTATTAACACCAAAAGCATTAGCATCAGAACTATTTTCTAAATGGGTAACAAGAAACTCTCGTTTATCACGTTCATCAATTTATCTAATTTTTCTTGGTGTTAATGATAAAATAATAACTAAAAGAATGAGCACTCATCCATTAAAACCAGAGATACGGTATGATATGAATAATTTATATCTTGAAACATATTCTGCTAATTATCTAAAATATTATAAAGAATTGAATTAATTTTAATTTTAATCTGTTCCTGTTTTTTCTTTAACAAAATATTTGTTATTACAAATATATTCACATCCTCCTTGAACAGTACATCTCCAGAAACAATCTTGACATACAAGCATAATTGGACATCTATCATTTATATCTTCTGTCCATGGATTTTTCAAATAGGGATGAAGTTGTTTAAATGGTAATACTATCACGGCTTCTGTATTTAATATTTTATATAACAAACAATAGTACTGATATGGATCGTTTTTAATAAGATTGAAAAATAATAATGGAGATAAGAAGTATCTTAAAAACAATTTTATCTCTAGATAAAAAGAAATCAAATATTTGTTCTTAATTTGTTTAAATTTGGTATAAAAGGTTAATTCAAATCGTCCAATTCCACTTATTATAGGAGTGGTGTATAATGAATATCCGTTCCATAATGTGGAATTACCTTGTGGTGGACTAGCTTTAGCAATTGTTAATTTATCTGATACTTCTATTCCATTAGCTGTAAAGAAATATCCAAATAGAATAGGATCAAAATATGCAACATCTTGTATAGAATAAGAATACTTTTGTTTATTAGTAGGATTTGAGACTGGATAAGTCTTCTTGGTTCCATTCATTTTAATATATCTCATTAACTTCCTTTTAGATATCTGTTGGTCTAATTTATCTGTAATTGTTATTCCAGTCTGTGTTGAATCTTGATTATTAGTTATCTCATCTACCTTATCTTCTAAATAAGGCTTAACATAGAATTTGAATGGCTTTGTCATATCATACACTTTATAAGTCTTAGGCTTATTAGGTCCATAATCAAAATTCTTTAATTTATATCTAGTATCTTTACAAACATTACTTTCTACAACACTTTCTGGATCAGTTGGTAATTCCATTGAATAATAATTATCTTTTTCAAATAACACATGCATATTAAATGTTACTTGTGGATAATATGGTAATCCAGTAGCATCTTTATCATAATCAAATGCATTTAAACGTTGTACAGGATCTATAACAAGACTAATAGTACTTGGACCCGTTCCAGCAACTTGACTTGAATTAGTAGCAACACTTTTAGGCATATAAGGTAAAGCAACACTCGTTTTAACCTTTGGTATCCATTTAACCTTTACTCCACTAAACTTCCAATAATCATACATATCACAATAAGAATCCCATAGATTTCCCATTACATTATGATCTAAATATGGATTCCATGCTACAAAAGTAGGTGGTGATAATGCTATTTGCTCTGTTCTTAAAATACTATTAGCAGTATCTACAGACTGCACAGTCATAAATTTCTGTCCAATCATTCTAAAATCTAATTCAGCTTCTTGAACAGGTACAGCAATTCCATTATTAGAAGGATAAGCAGCCATAGTCAATATTTGTGGTAAACTATCTCTTACAGGAATAGTAATAAACTCTACTATTGAGCAAACAAGCTTACTCTTCAATTTAACAGTATTTGGTTGTGATAACAACCGGCGTCGTCTATAATATCTTCTTCTTTTTCTATATACACGTCGTTTATATACACGCCTACCACGACGAACAGTAGGTCTTTTAGAAGTCTTTCTTCTTGTTGTTCTCTTCTTTAAACGAGCCATATGAGAATTATTAGAAAATGAGGTTTAAATACGTGGTGAATCATCACACTCTATGAGTTTTAAATGAAAAATAAATGAATTATTCATAAAATAAAAATAGAAACTAAAAGAAATAGAAAAAGAATTAGTTAATTAAACTAGTCAAGAGTCACACTCTTCCAAGTGAAGGAGAGAGAATCTTCTTCAGACATCATCTCCCACTCATCAAACCTTCTGGCAATAGCAGCACCATCAGGTCCTTCAAAGCACTCAGCCAAGGAATAATTAGAGGTTACAATAAATTGAAACCTTGGCTCTAATCTGACAGAACCCCCTTTTATTTCAGCTCTAAAAGGGTATCTGTCAGCCCAAAGCTTAATATGATGGACGAGGAGTTTACAGACTTGAGGGTCCAAGTCTTCAATAAGGACTATCTCCTCTCCATCATAATTATCCCACCATTTGTTGGAAAGTTTCTCATAAATTCTATAACCTCTAGACTTTGCATACTCTCTGACAAGACGAGACTTTCCCGTGGCAGATGGACCATATATCCAGGCATTTTTTGAAGATAGTTCACCGTCATAAACAAAATCAGTCTTTGGAATAAATCTTTGGAAAAATCGTTCATATCTACAATACATCAAGCACGCTCTATCAATAGTTCCATTTTTAGCTTCTTGGACCATCTGTTTGAAGGTGTCACCAATACCGGTATGAGGAGCAGTGCCATCCTCATAAATAATGTTTCCTTCTTTAATTACATATTCCCGGGCTTGCTGAAAAGTGCCTCGAACAATTTGAATATTAGCTCTCGGGAAAATTCTTTTAATGGTAGATCAACGTTTGGCTGCATTAAACAACACTAAGCAGTGGATATGAGGAGTACCGGTAGTTGGAGCAATTTCTTGGGCAATAATGATATATTTATAATCCAAAGCCTTAAGCGAATATATTTCATTACTATTTGGGTTATTTATAGTAATAAAATATCTTCTGGCTTGGGTAGCAGCATTAGCAACAGGATCAGCAACAAGTGCGACACGCGACATGTGGATTGGTAATATATTCTAATAAAACAGAATAAACAAATAAATAACAAGAAACAAAGAAATAACAAGATAGAAGTGACATTAAGAAATAAAAAGAAATGATAAATAACAAATAAATGAATATAAATGAATGAATAGAAAGAATGAAATGAATAAATTAAAAAGAAAAATAAGAACTTAATAATAAATATGAGATGTAATAAAATAACAAAATAATAAAAAGAAAAACTTAAAAATAACAAAAATGGGAATAACACAATCAACACCAAATAACAAATCAAATGACAAAATAAAAGAAATAATCAAACAAATAGAAGAATTGACAGAAAAAAGAATAAACAATATACTATTTGATTCAGATAAAGATAATTGGAATAAAAATACATCAGTATTTAAATAAAGAATAAAGAACATATAATAATTATTATTGAAGATTCAAAAGGAAATCAATTTGGAGGATATGTTAATTCTAAAATTGATAAAGATGAAAGTTATATAAAAGATTCAAAATCATTTTTATTTTCATCAGAATCAAATGGAAGAATTGAAGGAATGAAGAAATTTAATATCGAACAACAACAACGTGCATTTTATTTATATAATCAATCAGATGATTGTTTATTTGAATTTGGATATGGATATAGAGGTGATATTTGTGTTTATAAAGAAAATGATAAAACAAAATCATGGTGTTATCAAAATTCATTTAAATATAAAGGAATTGAAAATGCACTTTGTGGAAAACAATATCCATATCGTTTCACACCAAAACGAATCATAGTAATTGAAATGAAATGATTCAATCTTGATTAATTGAAAATGAAATAAAAAAGAATAAAAATAAATCAATGAAGAATATGAACAGCCATTTCATTCATCTTCTAATGAATGAAATGTTAAAATAAAAATAGACATAATTCAATGTTGATTTCTTTTATTTCATTTGAAATATTCACACTTAATGAGGGTGTTTTTTTTAATTAATAATAAAATAAATAAGAATGAAAGAGAAATAAGATAAAATGAATAAACAATTTATTTGTATTATTTCATTGAATTAATTCATTATGAATAAAATGAATAAGAATAATAGAAATAAGAATGAAATAAGAAAGAAAGAAATGATAAAATACATCAACATATCCACGTTATTATTTCTTATTCTTTATTCATTCTTATTTTCTATTTAAACAATAATAATCAAAACATAATAAGAAATATAAATAAGAATAACACAACATAAAATAAAGAATAATAATAATAAAATATACAACAAACATGAATAAACAAGAAATGACAAATGATAAAAGAAGAACTAAATAAAATAACAAAAAGAATAAAGAAAATAGAATGAAATGGAAATAAATAGAAGAAATGAGTGATGATTAGAAAATAGGAAATGACAAAAAGAAGAAATGAATGATGATTATAAAAGATAAAAATAAAATAATAAATATAAAATCAAAACTAAAATAACATAATAATATAATAACAATATCATTGTTTTTATCTTATTTTATTCTTATTTTATTTATCTTCTTTCATTATTTTTATTCTTCTATTTTATTAAATGAAAATTAATGAGAAATGAATGAATATCAGAAACAACACACAAACATTAATACAAAATCAAATAATGAAAAATCAAATAATAATTGAATATGATGAAGTAATTTAATAAGAAATATAATAAATAATAATAGAAAGAATGAAATAAAATAATATGAAAGAATAATGAGAAAAGAAAAAGAAATAAATGATGATATCAATAATAAATGAAAATATAAATAATAATATAATGATAATGAAATATTCATTCATAAAATAAGAAATAAAGAAATGATAATTCAATGAGAATAATTAAAATAATGAAAGTTAAAAAGAAATCAATTCAATTTAAATAAAAGAATAAAGAATAGAAAACCAACATTCTCATTAATTCAAAACTAAATAATAAAAGAAGAATAAACAATACTAAAGTATAAAGAAATGATTATTCTCACATGAATAAAGAGTAATAGAAAATAAAAAAAAACACTATTTGTTTATCTTCATTTTTATTATTGATTGTTGTATTTTATTATTTATTTGTTTTGTCATGAATTAATTAGAACAGTAATGTACTACTGTACCAGAGAAAATGAAATTGGAAATAACATATTAGATAGATGGTACAGTAAGAAAGGAATGTGGAATAGAATTAAAAAACATTAATTCATAAAAATAAATGAAACAAAAATAGAAGAAATAATAAATGAAGGGATAGAAAAGAAAAAAGAAAAAGAAGTAGTAATAGAAATAAAGAAATTATTGACAAATACATCAAAAAATGGAAGTGTCATCAAACAAGTGATATTTTAGAAGATGGAATGAGTCAAAATGAGTAGATAAAACTACTACAGTGAAAGCATGGAAATCCATCAATATTAAAAAAAACACATTCCTTCAATTAACTAAAATGCAAGATGGTGCAATATTTTGTGTGTATAAGAAAGCAAAAATAATGAAAAATGAAAGATTAAAATACTAAACACTTTGTAAAGACAAGATAGCTACAGTAGAACACATCTTACTATCTTGTATTTGTTATAATAATTCACAAATAGAAAAACATGACAATATTGGCATAATAATATTGATTAATAAGAAAATATACATGAAATAAACAATATAAAAAACCCCCATATGAAACAGTGTTCAAATATAAAGACATCAAAATGATATGGAATATACAAATAATGCATAAAAGTGAATGACAATATCACAAAATATCAGATATATGTAATAGATAAAAAGAATAAAACTGGTCTAATATTTGATATGACTATTGTGACTGATCACAATATTAATTGAGCCTATTTGAAGAAAAGAAATATGTATAATGAATTAAAGAATATTCTAATGAAAATAGAAAAATTAAAAGATGTCAAAATAATTCCAGTAATAATTTCAATAATTGGATTAATAAATAAAGAAAGCAATAGATTAATTAAAGAATTAAAAATTGACATTGACATCGAGAAAGAAATTAAAAACCATTGTAATACAAAACATGAAGGATGTCATTGAATACTGCTTCAATCACAACCAAACATACTCCGTAGAGCTGCTTGAAGAAAACTCACAGATTTGATTAGTCTCCCCTGAGCCATTAACAATAGAAGCTATTTCTATTAATACTTAATTAATTAAATTTTATTTCATATTGAAATAAATCTGATTTGAATATTATTTTATTTAAATATCTTTTCTATTTATTATTAAATACTTTTGTCAAATAATATTTCTATCTATATTATTCGTGCTTAGTATTTCTTGTCTTGTAATGTTAAATTATTCTTCATTTCTGAAATGTTGAATTTTGGACATTACGTTATATTAAAGTTATTTTTCTTTCTTTCTTTTTTCTTTAAATATTCTTTTTTTTTTAACCCTTTTTTTAATAGTATTTTTATTATTATTTTTTACTATTTTTTCTTTTTGTTTTTCGTTTTTTATTTTAAATTATTTGTTTTATTTATTTTTTTATATTTTTCTGCTTTTATTTCTCTTCTTTGTATCTCCATTACAACATTTAGTTCTTCTATTCTCTTTGTTTTTCTTTACTTCTTAACTAATGTGTTGTACTTTTATATTTGACTTCCTTGTTTTGATATTATTTATTTAATTATCACTGTCATGTTTTAGTTGATAAGAAAAACATCTTATGTTAATTTCATTTGTTTGGTTTCTCTTATCAACTCTTTTTCTTATCATTTGTGAATTATTTCTTTCACTTCTTCAAAATAAAAATAAAATGTAGTGTATGTTATTTGTTTTCATTTGAATTGCAATGAATGTTCATAATTCTCTTATTTTTATTCTGTTTATTTTTGTTGTTATAATTCCATTAATATTTGTTTGTTTTGTATGTAAATGAATTATAGTAAATGAACAATGTTTCATTTGACTTGTCAGAATATTAAATAATGAAATGAATAAAATATACTTTTAATGACATTTATTTGATTAAGCTAATTGATTAATCCCCATCAATTATAATTTGAATAACAAGTATTTATAAGTAATTACACACTATTTATTGTATAATAATCGTTAAATAATGTTCTTTATGTAAGTTTATCTCCTTTGGTAATAATTTGTTATTTTTATTTCTTTAATTAATTTCTCATTCAAAATCTTTTACTTTAATATCATTATTATCACATCAATTTTTCATTACATTGTCATAACAATGATATTATTGGATTTATAATAATCTTTTGTACTGTCTTGATGTTGTATTAATGTATTTTGTTATTTTACATCATCAAATTTCTTATTATTACACAAAGAATACAAGTATTTTTCATTTATCTAACTGTTTATTATTCATAATACTACATAAATTTTTTAACAAAATTTTTAATAATTAATATGAATAAAATAGATTATCAATACAAAAATAAATGTAATAATTCAATGTATATGAATAATTAATGAAATTTGATTTTAATCATCGACACTATCATTTCTGGTTTTGTTTATATTACATTTTCATTATAATCAGTATTCTTTTATTTTATTGTTTAATGAAATGTTTCATCAAATAAAACAGTTGAATAATAAAATATAAATGAATTAAATTAATGATTTTC